ATTACTGTGATCAAGTAGCTTCTTGTACTGAGCCCTGGGAAGGGCTGGGCTGAGAGCTATACTTTAAGAGGAGTAGATCAAGCCCTGCCCAGGCCTACAGTATTCCATGAACAAAAGAGTGCAGATGGATATAATTAGTTTCGTGATATGTATGTCCCACAATATAATCTACTCTTTTGAAGGGTGAAATTGGTTTCCCACTGACATAATAAAATAGCTTGATGGTTGTGTAGAGAAATTAAAATGAAAAGTTCTAAACCTGATCTGCTGATATGAGAGAATGCTTGGATAGCTTTGGATATGCCACTTAGATTGTCTGGCCTTAGATTTCTCATTTATATAATGTTGGGATTAGACCAGTCAAACCATAAATCCTCCCCTGTTATTAGAAATAATACAATTATTAAGTAATAGGCTGGTCACCTCCTATATCTTAGCTCCTTTAACAATCCTCTGAGTTAGAGGCTATTTTTATCCCCACTTTATAGTAGAGAAAACTGAGGCTCAGAAGAATTCATTTGGTTGACCGTGTTCATACAGCTAGCAAGCAGCAAAGTAGGAAATAGAACTACAATTCAACACCAAACCTATTTTACAAACATTGTCACACACTGCCTCTCAAATTCTGTCATTCAAGTGAACTACACAATGAAAAGTTCTGTATATAGTTAAGACAAGGAAAATTTGGTAAATATACAAAATGGAATACTATTTAGCCATAAAAAAGAATGAAATTCTGCCATTTGCAGCAACATGGATGAAACTGGAGAAAATGATTCTAAGTGAAACAACCCAGGTACAGAAAAATACCACATGTTCTCACTCATAACCAGGAGCTGAATCCATAAATAAACGAATGAACAATAAAGAAAGACAGAGAGAAAGAAAGAAACAACAATCACAGTAATATGTTGAAATTTTAGAAAACCAGAGGAGGAAAAGGGGAGGGGAGGGGCAGAGGGAGGGGGGCTAATGAGGAATTGGTCAGAGACACAAAGAATAATTGTGTATTGTAATGACAAATAAGCTAACTATACCGATCTAACCACCACACATTGTACACAATTATTGAAAATCAACATTGTACCCCACAGGTATGTATAATAAGGAGAAAAATAAATAGTACTTGTATGAAAATAAAGAAATAAAAATGAATCAAATAAAGATAAAGAAAGAAGTTTGGGATAGGTCTGTACTCATTTACAATTAGTCAGTACAGGCCTTTCTCCTTGCCACTGGCACATCTATCTCACAGGTCAGATACCAGCTCTCAGGAAAAGGGCTAACCACAAAGTGTAATGCAGCAGGAGGCCAAGAAGGCATTCTTTAATGGACAGGAAGACAGAGATCTGCCCAAATAATGAACAATGGACTAACAAGTACACCCAGAGGATCCAGATGCCTTATACAGTGGGAGCAAGTCTTATGATAATGCATGTTCTTCTTCTGGTAAGTAAAATATTTATGAAGTTGCACGGCTCAGCAGTAGGAACTGAAAAATAATTCTTTATTATAATAAAAGCAACATTTCCCCTTCCTGCTCAGATATCATTTTGTAGACATAAAATATACTTAAGAACTTGCATTAAGATATATTAAAACAGCAGCAAGAAGAAAATTTATTATAATTTTAAAGAGCGCACGTGCAGGTCAATACATGTCAATAGAAATACTTTTCTAAATGACAGAAACATTCTTCTTCCTATACAATAAGCTCTTAGAAGGCAGAGTCTATGTCTAACTCATGCTCAATGCTGCCCCAGTACTTAGTATGATTCCTTGACCAATGTAAATATTTAATGGACATCCGCTGAGTAACTATATGGGTAGATAAGATGTGGTATTACAAAGTGTTTTAGGTATTTTGATATAAACCATGTTTAATTTTAATTGGCATGTATTTTCATTAGTTGAAGGGTTAACCTTTTTCTCATTTCCATTATGTATGTATTTTACAAGTGGATTAATTTGGTAAATATTAGAACAGCAAGTAAGTACAAAAGCAGCAATAAAACCTTTGCTATTTCAGCTACTCTCTTACTTTCCAGGTCTTACAGCAAACAACAATTTCAAAACTGAAGTTTGATACTCACAAATATATAGAACTCTGTACTTTACTGCCTAAGGTGTTGTGTGTCAATAGCCCCTGAGCTGTTATCAATAACAGGGATACCAATATATGTCAGTAGAAATCCTCACTATTCTAAATGACAAGAAACAATTAATCAATTTTTTAAGTAATATCCAATTCTTTCATTGTTCTATGTTCATTGGTTTAGTTACATATTTAAAGTTCTCATTGTGTATATAATACAACATAATACAAAATAACCCCCAGGAATTATATAATATTTTTACTTTTTATTTAATTTTTTTTTTTTTTTTGTCCTTTTTGAGACCAGCTGCACTGTACTCAGCCAGTGAGTGCTGTGAGCGCACCAGTCATCCCTATATAGGATCCGAACCCGCGGCGGGAGCGCTGCTGCGCTCCCAGCGCCGCACTCTCCCGATGCGCCACAGGCTCGGCCCTAAATTTATTTTTTAATTGCTGTGTATTGTATATTTAAAATTAAATATACAATATTATATTTTAACACATGTATACAACATATAATAATCAAATAAGGGTAATTAGCAAATTCATCATCACCAAAATTTATCATTTCTTTGTAATGAGATCATTTGAGCTCCCCTCTTCTAGTCATTTGAAAACATATGATAAATTAATAATAATTACCTTCTTTTCATAGGTGCATTTTAAATGACTTTTCTCCATTTGAAACTTATTCTCTTGATCCTGTGAATGATAAATGTTTATTTTTATTATACCTTAAATTGCTACTAGAGTCAAAATTAGTAATCTAAAGAAATCAATTAATCAACTTGATGTTAAACTTTAGTTCAAAGTTTTGTACATTATTAAGAAAGCCCTACCTGCTCAATTTTCTAAGCTACAAGTAAAACTATGAGTAGCATAAAACTTTAGTTATCTATGTCCATCATTGAAGAGCTGGAATCAGCCCAAATGTCCATCATCGGATGAGTGGATACGGAAAATGTGGTATATCTACACAATGGAATACTACTCAGCTATAAAAACAAATGAAATACTGCCATTTGCAACAACATGGGTGGACCTTGAGAGAATTATATTAAGTGAAACGAGTCAGGCATTGAAAAAGAAATATCACATGTTCTCACTTATTGGTGGGAGCTAAAAATAAATAAATAAATTCACTCACACACAAAAAAAATAACCGGGGGGGAGGGGGGAGAAGATATAACAACTACAATCCTTTGAAGTTGTTACAACAAGCAAACGGAAAGGACATTGTTGGGTGGGAGGGGGGAGAGGGAAGAGGGAGGAAGGTTTCGGTGATGGGCCATAATAATCAACCACATTGTATATCGACAAAATAAAAGTTTAAAGGGGAAAAGAAAAAAAACAAAACTTTAGTTATCTGAAGATGTTACTCAAAAGTACCTACTTTACAGTGTAAGATAACCTTCCTGACCCTTAGGATTAGAAGATTACTTTTTAAATGACCAACTGTTTCAACATGGAAATGATAAATTTGAAGTTTTATCATATACCAGTCCTAGGTACTTTTTGACCATGAGAGAAAAGGAAAGATCTAAAAAGTGCAAAAGAGAGAGACAGGGATGCAGGTGGGGGAATTATGAAGACTGGAAGATAATAACTTAAAAGGGGGAAATTATTCTAAAATAATAATATACTTAAGTAGGGTCTTTACCAACAAATCTCAAAAAAAAGATCTTTCAAACTAAAATTATTGTCCTTTATTCTCTAGATCTCATTAGTGTCTACCTTTGTTAAAAAAAATAAAATGAAAAATTATGCAATAATGGGCCGAGCCCGTGGCGCACTCAGGAGAGTGCGGCGCTGGGAGCGCAGCAGTGCTCCCGCCGCAGGTTTGGATCCTATATAGGGATGACTGGTGTGCTCACAGCGCTCACTGGCTGAGCACGGTGCGGCCAGTCTCAAAAAGGACAAAAAAAAGAAATTATGCAATAAAATAAAGAATCAGAATTGACTACCTGCATTTATGAGTTTTGTTTTTAATTGATTCTCATTTATACGTATAAATCAAGAAAAGGAAAGGTGTGTTTTGGCCATCGTTCTTTGTGTAGAAATATAAAACTCACTCTTAATTGTTGGTTTCTTTGAAGTTCTGATTCCTGTAATTGCTGTTTTAATTGACAGATGTTCTGTTCTAATTCTTCAATCACACCAGATGTCTAGAAGGATTTTAAGATGAAGAATAAAAAGCAGAATATTGATTTTTGTAACATCCTATAACTTATTTAAAATATATGCATTTTTTCTCCCAAAAGGTCAATCAGAATTAAAATTTCCATAAATCTGAATGAAAAATGTCTTTAAAAGACAGTATAAAAGTTAATCTTTTAAAGTAAAAATATAAATTTAAATTCTGCACAGTATTTAATGTTGTGAAAATGTAACACTGATATAAAAATAATAGGTTTACAGAAAACTTTTAAAATTTATTATAAAGCTAAAACAGAACCAAGATTTCAAAATAATAATAATGTATTTAGTACTCTACAAAGTGTACTATTAACACAAATAAGCATTTCTTCTCACAATTTGTATGTTTCCTCCTTTAAAAACTTTGGTACATAAAAGGGTTAATTTATTTATTATTGCAGAATTTAGTTTATTAAATATTTGTGTTCTGCTACATATTAGACATTTAGCATTTTCAACATTTTAAATACCAACAAGAATTCTTGAAGTTTCAGTTATTTCAATAATAAAGTGAAAGAGACTAATATGAAATGTCAAATAATTAGCCTCTACCTGGCTATTTAGGTGTATATATAGAGACACATGGCTACAGGCTGAATAAGGTAAATAATTACTTTGTGTGGATGTAACTACCAGCATTTTAATACCTTTGAAGCTGAAAGAGCATGTTCTTGTTTCAGAAGGTTTATGTCAGCATCATATTTGGTTTGTAATAGTTTCATGTTTTTCTCACACTCGTTTACAAGATGATCTTTCTCTTTATGCAATGTGTTACGCCTAAAAGCATTAAGAATGAAATAGAATTCCAATATATTTAGAACCAATCCCTAAAATGGAACTTTCTGATCAACTAAATCCAAATACATTATCTTTCAATAACCAAATAAGTATCCCCATTTTTATCAACTGTTTCTAAATGTTATGCTTGTATGTTAAAAAAAGACTTTAAAAAAATAAACAGGGGTATTTAGGTTAGAAACCTCCCAAGGTTAAATGCACAAGGTATGATTAATATTAGCAGATAATTTAGAGTTAATATCAGCACTTTATGGCTACATCTGATGGATATCTGATTTCAGACAATACCTTGCCTTTACTTCTTGTAATTCACTACAAGTTATCTGGTAACATCTTTCAAGTTCTGATTTTTCTTGAATTAACTTCTGCCTCTGTAAATTACTATTCTCTGCTTCTCCAGTCAGCTGCTGCACACGGGCCTCCAGTTCTTTGATCATGTGGTTCTAAAAGAATAACTCATTGTTAGGAAAGTCTCTGACTGACTTTACAACACCTTTGCATCATTAAGGAATCTGTAGAAAATACATAGCCTATAAGAATAAACCACAGCAGTAAAAATTAAACCAATCTCTAATCAGGTTTTTTTTTAAAAAAAGAACATTTTCTACCATAAAACTAAGAACATTTTTTTTCTTGGTGGCTGGCCAGTACAGGGATCTGAACCTGTAACTTGCTGTTATAAGGATGCACTCTAAACAAATGAGCTAACTGGCCAGCCCCCAAATGTCCATTGTTGGATGACTGGATAAGGAAAATGTGGTATATTTTATACAATGGAATACTACTCTGCCATAAAAAAGAATGAAATACTGCCATTCACAGCAACATGGATGAACTTAGAGAAAATTATGTTAAGTGAAAGAAGCCAGGCACAGAAAGAGAAGTACCACATATCCTCATATATATGTGGGAACTAAAAAATAAAAAATAACCAAAAAGGAAAGAAAGATACAACAATCACAATAATACATTGAACTTTCAAGAGAAGAGGACAGAACTAAGGTTGCCAGAGGTGGGAAAGGGGGAGGAGAAAAGGAGGAATTGGTAAAGGGCCACAAAAATTGATTACATTGTTTAATGAAGGATATAGTAGTTATACGGATTTGAACACAACATATTGCACAAGGTATTGATATTCAACATCATACCCCACTGACATGTACAATCAACTATGTTTCAATAAAAAAAAAGAAAGAAAGAAAGAAAACATCACCGTTTTCATTCATTTAATGAATATTTACTTAGTATGGTAATATTTCAGAATGAAGGTACACAGCAGTAAATAAGACAAAGTCCCTACTCTCAGGAAGATAGGATTCTCTTTACACCTTTTTATAAGTTTATTTTTTGTCAGGTAAGTACTTACCAATGTTCTTTGCTCTTCATTTAAAGTTTTAAAAAACTGTAGTAATATTTTTTAAAAGGAAATCATAACCCCAAAATTTTAACACAAGAGTTATCACCTAAGTGAAACACTTATTATTAGATAAGTATACAGGAATATTTTATTACATAGTTGTGTTAGTGCACAAAATTTTCACTCATTTCATTTTTTAATGTCTTTACCATTTTAGCAAAAGCACTTCTCCATTTTTCCACAGTACTCATAATTATTACCCAACTAAACAGTTTCTCTGTTATTTGACACTTATTCTGAAATTTTCAGTTTTTAGGACTGTAATTTAAAACTTGCATAAACGAGTTTATGAGCTTTTATGTACTTTATGTAAAATTAGGGTAAGCATGTATTAGCTGAAGGGACAATTGATTTTTATGTCTTAACAAATTTCTGGTAAGTGTGAGTAATTAGGAAAGATTAATATGTCCCAGTCAATAATCTTTTTATGCTCTTTCTAAGATAAACATTTAAAGCAAAGTTTCAACATTAAATAATATAACAATCCCAACATCCTTTCATTTCATCCTTTCCTCATCATAATACCGAAAAGGTATATAAGTTAAATTTTGGCACAACAGCTTCTAAATCTATAAAATGGAAATCATTATATCTAACTTAAAAGCATGGTATATACATTAACTTTTTAAAATACATATAATTCCTGGCTCAGAGCCTGACACATACCAGATGTTCCAATTTCTTCTTCATGCATCCTATTCACTTCACCTCTTTATGAAAAACCCCACTACTTTAGGACTTCCTTTCAGAAGGTAGTTTCAGTTTCCTAAAACATACTCTAAATTCACCTTGCTTCCTACATATTAATTGACTAGAAGAAACAAAAGAATACATCCTCAGCCTTCCAGTCTTAAATGGGGGAATAAGATAATTTGCATTCCTTCTCTTCAAAATTACCGAAAGAGACAAGACATACTAGCAACAGAAAGGCAAACCCCATCTTAATAAATCCTAGAAGATGATATTCTATTTCTGGCTATGAAGGAGTAGCTTGCAGAAGATCACACTCCCACTGAGAACAACTGAAAACCCCAGAAATACATACACACACAAAAAAATTGTAGGATGGCAGCAGAGGACTTCCAATGCAGCTTGGATGTGAAGAAGTTCAGACAAATAAGTCAGCATTCTGTAAGTTGCTTTTACCCTAGAAGCATTTTTCAATCTTGGAGGATGAGCATGGGGCAAGGAAATCAGAGCAGTGGGTGGCCAAGGCAGCCAGAATTTGAGGAACCAAGATCCCTGAGAAAATAGATGCACAGAGAAATGGGCACCACACCAGCAGTTTTCTCCTCAAGGAATTTGTCAAATTCTTAACATTCACAGGGCAGGAAGTCAAGAACCCAAGTGAAAAAACTGAAGAGCACCCCAGAGTTTACAGCAGTATCACTGTACTTAGGAGTAAAAACTTATAGATTATCCTAGGAGATGGGCCCCTAGTAATATCACAGGCTTTCATTTGGGACTTTTTTTTTTTTTAACTCAAGTCTTTTTCTTTTATTTACCCACCGTCATCAGTTTCATCAATTTGAGGCTCCAGTATACTGATTAAAACTTTAAAATTTTTTTTTATTGTGGTAAAATATATATAACATAAGGACTGCCATTTTAAGCATTTTTGAACCTACAATTGCGTGGAATTGATTATATTCAAAATGCTGTGTGATTACCACCTCTATATAGTTCCAAAATTGTTTCATCATCCTAAACATAAACTCTGTACCCATTAAGCCATAATTTCCCATTATTCTTTCCCCCCAGTTTCTGGTGACCTCTAATCTACTGTCTCTGAAATTCTTTTGTTCTTTTTATTTTTTCAAAAATTGACCCATGATAATTGTATAAATTTATGGAGTACAATGTGATATATGGATATGTTTATACAGTGTGCAATGATCACATCAGAGTATTTAGTACATACATCACCTCAAATATTTGTCACCACTTTGTGTTGGGAACACTCAAAATACTCTCAATTAGCTACTTGAAGTTATACAATAATTTGCTGTTGACTGTAGTTTCTCTATATTGCTATAGAACATTAGACCTTATTTTTTCTATCTCTCTATAATTTTGTATCCATTGACGACCCTCTCTCCATCCCCCTCCAGCCTCCCCTTACCAGTCTCTAGTAACCACTAATCCACTCTCCACTTCTATGAGATCATCAGTTGAGACTTGTGTTGAGGGCTACCACTAAGAGTGGAAGTGAGTCAAAAGTAGATTATAGATTACAAAGACTGCAACCCAGTTTGGGACGATTCAGTCCCGGAATGGATCAAGTGATTGTCTCCACACTAGCTGTCTCTCAGAGTTTAGGGCAGAACTTCTGTGGAAGAAAATAACATCATCCAGAGCCTTTGTTATTTATCATACACTTGTGGCAATGAATCAGAAAATAGTAGGCATACCAAGAAATAAAAGCAAGCAGGTAAAAAACATAAAAATAGATGTAGATATGCAGATGACACAGAAATTGAAATTATAAAACATCTGAGGCATTTGTTATCCTGATTCAAAATAAATGATGGTACCTCAAAAAGTTCATGGAAAAATTATCTTTTAATTCTATTTTTCCACAAATTTTTAAAGTACCCTCAAGACTATTTCTCCTGAGAGTCCCTTAGCAAATAATTAAAAGAATGTACATGTATAATACAGTTACATATATACATATATATGATTATTATATATCTGACACCCACCCAATAGGAAAAAACAGTCTAGTTGGTACTGTCTTTGAAGACTGACACAGATTAGGAAGTCCTAGGGCTATGCCAAATAGAACAGTTACCAGAGAAAAGGCAAAAACTGGAAGTTGACAAAAGGATTCAGAAGTAGAAAAACAACAGCAGCCACTCATGCTGGAAGACAAGGTAAAAGAGGAGTGAGAATAACAGCAGAAGAAACCAGATAAGGTATAAGCAGGTTAAAAAAAAGATAATTCTGATACTAATTCTTCAAATACTGAGTACCTGCCAAGGCATAACCATTGTTAGAAGCTGGCACACTTTCTAAGATGCAGGGAAGTCTTATAAGAATTGCGAAAGCGGCTTCTGAATTAAGATTTATATTTACTGGATAAATACTTTTGTATCGTAATAACTTCGTATAGCATACATTATACGAAGGTATACGATACTAAAAAAATTCTTTCAGCAGAACATGACCTTGGCCCTATAGAGCCAGAAACTGTCTTCAAATAACTGGTCAATGAAGAAATTTGTACATTTAAAGATGAGAAATAATCAAAATGGATCATCATAGCATCTATACAAATATATGATAATGAAGGGAAAGGCAGAAAAAACAAAGTCAAATGAAAAACATTTACCAAGAAAATCACTTACATGTGACAGATTAAAATCAACACCAAATACATCCAAAGGAATACTTTTCAAAATTTGCAAAAAGATTATATTTCCATAAAAAGTTAACAAACCTCACCTCTTTAAAAAATAATAGATCAGAGAAAAACCATAAGATCTCAAGGAAGCTATGTTGGGTTACAGAAAACAAATATGAACACACAAATCTCAGGTAAAAGGTGAAGAGGCAAAAAGCATCATGAAAAGAAATGCTACAATGAAAACATCTCAAAAAAATAATGTACATTGAAGGGACACAGTAAGAAACATGAAAGAAAAGTTTGTGGAACGCAAACAAAATAAAAACTGGAATAAGCAAAAATTAAAAGGGCAAACAATTGGTATAGAAAAGAAAAACGGGAGATGCAACATTTGCATAATTGGTGAACCTGAACAACAGAACTAAAATGGTAAAACAGGAAAATATCTTAAAAGGCATTGTACAAGAAAACTAAAAAAAAAAAAAAAAAAAAGAATAAGCAAATTGAAAGGATACACTATAAAACTTACACAGAATGAAGAATGCCAAGGCACATGGTAAAGTTATTGAACTTCAAGAAATGATCCTTTTACAACATTAATCAAACATGTCACTGTTCCTCCAAAACTCTCCAATGGCTTCCTTTCTTATGCAGAGTAAGAAGTGATTATC